TACACTGCTGTCAATATTAGGTTAGTACAATAAAAAGGTATCACCGCATACCGCATTACTCTCGTATTTTGTAATCTTATTCATATATACTTCTTTCGTTTTTTTTAGTGGTGAAAATTATTAGTGCCCCCCATTTTGACTGTGGTATCTTATGTGCCCCCCCTATATATTGTTCCTAGAGTCGCCCCTGCTTAGCATGGATGGAGAAATCTATCAGATTTTTTCCTTTCAGCATTGCAGGCTAATTGAAAAAAAAACTACCCGTGTGTACCCATGCTTATTCTGCCCTGCTTCCTTGTAGCAACAGATCACTGTAATAGTGATCCATTATTGTCTGATAATAACAAACAATGGATCACTAATGTAAGTGATACATTAGTGAAACGGTATGCCCCCCTGAAGAAAAATAAGCAAAATACAAAAATAATCAACTTTAAAAAATATAATTATTTTAATTTTAGGTTTCACTAAATATGATCTGACTTATCTTACCACTTCAGTACGCGGGTATAACACCCTTTCTTTACCAGACCATTTTTCAGGTTTCAGCATGTGATAGTTTGACTGACAATAACTTGGTCATGCAACACTGTACTGTACTTGTTTGAGACCAACAGAGATTTCTTTTGTTGTTTTTTTTTTTTTCCTTAAAACTTTTTACTGTAAAAAGGAAAACAACCAGAAAATTTGAAAAACAAACTGTTTCCCTTACTTTCAATTAAAATGAACAAAAAATGCCAGTAGAGTATGAAAACCCTGAAAATCCCCTTTTTTGGAAAGTAGACATCGCACGATGATCTAATCTTTTGCCACAATTTTTGGCAAATGAAAAAACATGGTGGTATTGAGGGGGTTAAACACAGAGCTTGGCATGTGTGTACTAGATACATGAGATGTACAGGTCATACACAAAGGGATAAGGAGGTGAAGGGGTTAAAGAACAGGTCACATACAGTCGCAGCATGGAGATGAGGGGGTTAAAGTGCAGATGTAGAAGATAAAGGAGGTGAAGGGTTAATATATACATAGAGACAGGATGGAGGTCAGATTTGTAGGAGAAGGGGGCAATGTCATGGTCAGTGGAAATTAATGACTGAATCAGCTGCTGCTGACATATTCCTTCATTTCCCATTCATCAATGACTTTGATTTCTCTCCTTCCTCTGTTGTAAGAGTAAGGGGAGGGATCAACCATGTAAACACCAACGGGGCACTTGGATCAAATGAGTACACTGTCTCTGTGTACCAAGCTGTCTACTGATACTTCCAAGCACAGGTCTTTTCTACAGTGACGTTTTCATACGGCGGTGGGAAATAACAGTCCAGTCCTTTTTTTCAAATAATACAAGGCATTCTGTGATTGGAGGAGAGGATGGGGTCAGGGTGTGACATCATCTCTCCTCCAATCACAGACATCTTAGAAAAAAAATACAAGGCATTTTGTGAATGGGCAAACAGTGAGGAGGAGTGGGTGATGCGACTAGAGAACTACACTGTGCGAGTCGCATCCCTCACTCCCATCTGTGCCCAGAAGCCGATGTAAGATTTCTATCCATTACATCCACCCTCCACACATCACATACAGCTTTTTAGCGGTAATTTACATACCCAGTGTGATGTGTGAATTATCATTTTTCCTAAAGTTTGACTTTACAGAACATCTCCAGCTTTAATACAACCCATGACCTCCTGGAGCTTTGGATGCCTTTGCTCTTTTTCAAGGTGGCCTCTGTCTACTTGAAAAAAAGGGCCACAGTGCTCTGGTAAGATTGGTGTAAATCCTGCTTTAGAATCTACTTCTTGGCGTGCTCTTTCCTCTTTATTATTAGATGTGAGCGTTTGTTGAGTGATTTTACTCTGCAACAGAGCAAAGATTTCAGAAACGTGTACAAGGACAGATAAGTATAAGGTGTCTTCATTTACATCAAGCTTTTTGGTCTTATTTTCATCAAAAAAAGTCACTTTAAAGTGTATTTCCATTTGTGCACCCAAATGAGGATACCCCTAGTTTATATGTGTTACATGTTCCCAATCACATAGCATAACTGAAAAAAAAAACCCAATAAAAATGGCTGCTTACTTATTACTCTTACTCTGCGTACTTATTTACTTTCTCTAAACTGTATTTTCTTCTGGAATACGGGAGGGCTGGGTAGTAACGCTACGTATACATTAGTAGTACATCAGTAGGTTTTTTTCGTTTAGCATTGGGATGAACTCGATTGGATCCAGGTGCTGTTTGGCCATCAGTTTCCCCCTGTCTCCTTCAATTTTTTTAGTCGAAGGATATCAGACAGGAGCTGGCAGGCAGAGCCACCCAATGAGTGGATTTAGGATGGTTCATCGAAAGGTAGCAGACAAGGCCATTTACTCACTGAAATTTGGCTGGTTCGTTAAGAACTGTCTAAAATTCGCTCAGTGTGTAGCCACCTTGTTTACCATAATTAAAAGAGAGCTATAACCAAACCTTTTTTTTTGCTTTAGTTCTCTTTTGGGTTACAGGAGGACATTTACTAATGCCCTCCTGTGACCCAAAGACAGCATGTAGCCAGCTAAATGCTGACAGCGCAAAGCCACACTACAGCCAGGAAAGATCCCGACAATATTGTTGGGATCCACCCCCTGCCTGATTGGCAGCTGGCTCCACCTCTCTTGAGCCAGAGCCAGCTGTGTCCACCCCCTTCCCTGTCTGTCCCTCCAATGAGCTCTGGAGGAACAGAGAGGGCAGGGAGAAATCCCTGTAGGGAGCGGTGTATTAGCAGGGATCCAAACCTGAAAAAAGTCATTTCAGCTAGGTGCCCTTCTCATTTCAGGGAGGTGCCCTCTGTCGCCCCCCTATCCGTGGGGACAGGGGGGGGGAGGGAGAGCATCCCTCTGAAATGATGGCAGATAGCAAAGAAGCTAATGCTTCCCTTGCTATCTGCAGGGTTGTCTTTGTATTCTGACACCTGCTGCTGTCAGAATAAAAAAAAAAAAACTAAAAAAAAAACCCCCAGCATAGGAATGAATAGCTAGATTGCTATTTCAATTTGCAATAGCCAATAGCAAGCTGGCTATTGCAGCCGAGGACCTGATGGAGAACTTCAGGTCCACCTCTGCCTATTGACAGCAGCAGTGGGCGGGTGCAATAGCTAGTCTGCTATTGGCTAATGCAAATTGAAATAGCCAATAGAAGCCTAGCTATTCATTCCTATGCTGTATTTTTTTTTCTCTCTGACTGATGGTGGCCGGCAGCCCTGATGTAAAAAAAAAAACACAAAAAATTCATAGCAAGGTTTACTCTGCTAGATAGAGCAAAGTAAAGATTTCTAGGAGAATGTTTCTCTCCCGGGCGTCCGGGAGCCGCTATCTTATAGCAGAAGGCTCCCAGTGCATCCGGGGGACTTGAGATGACTGAATTATAGGCATTGTTCACTGCTGGGAGAAGCCGTAATCTGAGCGATCAGCGGTTTGTGATCGCTCAGTTCTCAATCTATGGAGCCAGCATGTGACAGCTGCAGTGTCACACACGGGCCCAAACTATTGGAAATAGTACATTTTACTCTCCCCATAGTTAACACTGGCTGTGCTGAGTTGGCAGATCTGATTATCAGTTGTAAACTAGATTTAGCCGCTGTCTGTCCTAACAAAGGGCTAAAGATCTAGAAGCATTGTATGAATGAGGGGAAGCTTAGGGTGTACCTAGTCTTTCTATGGAGACAGACAAAGTTTCCTGTCACTTGCAAAATGTACAGGAAAGCTCCAAAGGCCAGCTACACAGACATGCCTAAAAGATGAGAAATATCTATATATATACAGTGGCAGAACTACCACCATAGCCCGCGGCACTGGGGGAGCCCGGATCCCCGCTGCTCTTCCCCGCTTGTATGGGCTGATGCAGCGGGGATCCGAAAAAAATGGACGGCGGAGGAGCCACTGCCGTCCTGAAACTGAGAGGAGGACTTTTCCCCATTGAGAATCTGCTTGATAGTAAAGATCTTACTATCAGCAGTTTGTGAATGAATGGGAAGCCTCTGTACTGAGTGCTTTCCCTTCACTGGGTGCTGAGGCTGCAGAAAAAGACATTGAGGACTCTGTGTCCTCAATGTCTATAAAACAACTGGGATCAACAGCAAATGTAACAGCCACGTAAAATGACAGAGCTCGGTCGAGCGCATGCTGAAGCGCATAGTGTGCAGAGGTCGCCAACTGTCTGCAGTCAATAGCTACAGACCTCCAAATTTCAGATTGGCACAACAACAATGCGTAGAGAGCTTCATGGAATGGGTTTCCATTGCTGAGCAGCTGCATCCAAGCCTTACATCACCAAGTGCAATGCAAAGCGTCGGATGCAGTGGTGTAAAGCACGACTCAGGTGTGAATGGGGAGCAGGTGCTTTAAATTTGGTGTTATCGCTCTCACTCTCTCATACTGGTCACTGGAAGTTTAACATGACACCTCATGGCAGAGAAATCTCTGAGGATCTAAAAAAAAGAATTGTTGCTCTCCATAAAGGTGGCTTATAGGCCATAAGAAGATTGCCAAGACCCTGAAACTGAGCTGCAGCACGGTGGCCAAGACCATACAACGGTTTAACAGGACAGGTTGGGTGTTGAGTTATTTTGAGGGGACAGCAAATGTACACTGATATACAAGCTTTACACTCACTACTTTACATTGTAGCAAAATGTCATTTCTTCAGTGTCGTCACATGAAACGATATAATACAATATTTACAAAAAAGTGAGGGGTGTACTCACTTCTGTGAGATACTGTATATAAGTATTATTTTTGGTTAAGCTGTGTGAGAGGGAACACATAAGAAACATGTGTGTTTTATGAAATGTAATTGTAGAAGTGGAAATACACTGTAAATCGCCTTTAATAACACAGGCGGGGAGAATTTAGCTCTTCTTATACAGTAATAACATTGCCCTACTTTCTAACGCTACCAGCTGTTTCATGACGTAGTTCCTTTATGGGCGGAGCACAGCGCTCCTCATAAGCACCCACACTTCCGGTTCCGCCTTACAACGGAACGGATCAGAGAGCGGAGTTGGGCGATCTGGGAAGCGGAGTGTAAAGATGATGATGATGACGACGCAGGAGCCGCCGCGGTGTTGCGGTTATTTCAGCATCCGCTCGGTGGTGCTGGGAGTGGCCGTGTACTATGTGTTCCTGAGTCTGCAGTCTGTGGTGTGGCAGACGGTGGCGGTGATAAAATGCAGCGGGGTGTGCCCCGGTCCGCTCAGCTCGCCCGGCCCAGTTGCCGTCATGTACTCTCTGGCCTTCGTACTGCTCTTCCTCAGCCTGTGTCTGCTGTTCGGTGTCCTCCGCCGCCGCCCCGGTCTCCTGCTGCCCTTCTTGGCCTTCCAGATCATCGACTTCCTGTGCTCCCTTCTGCTCTTCTGCGGCCTTTTCGTCCGCTTCCCCACCGAGCTTCGCATGGTCAGCACTAGGCCCTACCTCCCCGGGCTAGACGAGCAGGACAAGGCGGCCGTGGCCGGGGGCTCCGTCCTCTTCGTCGCCCTGTCCCTCCTTCTCCTACTGCTGAAGATCTATCTTATCCGATGTGTGCTCACCTACTACCGCTACCTGCTCACCAGAGTCAGCACACCGCCCGGAGAGCCCGATGGCCTGGCCCTGATCGTGGTGCCCGCCGGCCAGGAGAAGAACCCTCTGCTGCTTCCTTCCTATGAAGAGGCCATCAATATGCCAGCCAAGGACAGCCCACCACCCCCCTACAGCCAGGCCGTGCAGGCAGAGCCAGAGAAAGAGGGGGTATAAGAGGCCCATCTGGATACCATTATGATGTGAGTGACTCTTCACCTACTAGGCATTCTTGTGCCAGACGTCTGTTTCTAATAGGACACCATGGAACTGAGAGAGCACGCCAAGAACTGAGCCCCTGATCACACAGGCATCTGTGATTAGCTGTATTCTAGGACTTGTCCTCATGTCATACGAGGAAGACACCACTTGTACATGGACTCGCACCTTTTTTAACATTTTATTTTGTCCACTATCAGATGACCGGCCCATGCCACCGTCCAGCAGCTGTCCGATCCATATTCTCCCATCGTTTTGTCTTTCTGTATCATTTGTTCTGTTGTTAGAAGGGTGATTGGCTATTCTCAGTCCAGCCACTTGGCGGTTGTGTTTTTACAGCTGCTCTGGCTTGTGCTGCAATTGGTCCACCCCCTCGTTTGCCAACTCTTCTCTGTGGGAACTGAATTGTTTGACCATGATTTACAGGTGACCATTTGCTGGGGACCCACATGCTAGACCCGATGCCAATCTCTGGTGATGTGTGGTGCTTCAAGACCGACCGTTTCACTGACTTTCTACACAGCCAATGTGCTCTGGTTTGGCATTGGTTTTCCAGAATACTATGCAATTCTTTTTACATTGGTCTGATACAATCATGTGGGTTGACTGTTCTTATGGTCTAAGTGCTTGTTCACACCATGTCTATTGAGATGTGGTTTCTGCACACCCCCGCACATGTATGGTGTGAACAGGACGCAAGGAAAACAATTGTATTCTGTGGGCATTGTTCATAAATATACGTGTGCAATTGTTAGCGAGAAGAGACAGCTCATGTATGGTGTGAACAGGACACAAGGAAAACAATTGAATTCTGTGGACCTTGTTCACATCATACATGTGCAATGGTTAGCGAGAAAAAGACAGCTCGTGTATGGAAAACAATTGCTTTGCTTGTTCATACACAAGCTGTCTTTTCCCGCTAACTATTGCACATGTATGGTGTGAACAGGACATAAAGAAAAACAATTGTTAACCTATGTGCCCTGTTCATAACATACATGTGCAGTGGTGTACAGGAAAATGCAGCTCAATGGGCATGTTGTGGACAAGCCCTGAGAGATAGTCCTGATTGTTTTGTGGAAGGCTCTGTTCATACTGTAGCTGTGTAAAAGCAAGACTTGACCGTTTACAAGGAACACGTTTGGTGTTAAGCTGGTTATTCACTGAACACTTTTTGGCGTAGTTCTTGAGAAGCTGGCTGAAAATTGCTTAGTGGGTGGCCCTGTCTGCTGGCTCCAGCCCAACATTCTTCAATCTGCTAGAAAGACTGTCAAATACAATAGCTACAGCAGGGGATTAAACCTTCCACGCTGTTTAACGTGGATTAGAGGAATCTGTTCAATTTTCAGGCTGAAAGGAAAGAGTCCCCAGCTATAGAGCTGCAGATGTTGGCTACTCTTGGTATGATGCTGAATTCTACACAGTAGTGTTAAGATCATACTTGGCCTTCTGATCTATAAGAACGCTCAGCTGTGAACAGAGCCTTGAAGTGGTTTACCTGAATAATGCAGTGTATTGAAATAACCCATCCACCTGTGGTCTTAGAATAGTTACTGGAAGAATTGCCTCAGACAATGCATTGCTCCATGACAACTAGTCATTTTTCTTTTTTACAGTCTTGTGTATTCTAAGGGGGGAGTCTTGCTGTTGTCTGAGACATGTCATTCTTTAAGCTGACCATACATTGTTCTATATTTTCCTGTCAAACTGTGGGCTGAATGGGGGGGGGGCAAAAACAGATTCCTCCAACGCTTATGAACTTTGATCAAGGAATCTCCACGCTCTCCTTTTGTATTTTGACAGCGGCTGCCATTCGCTGTCAGAATACCCTATTGGAGCAGGCAGCTCATTGGCTGCCAGCTCTGTTCATTTGAAGATTTTCTGACTGGCTCCTTTGGTCAGCTGATTGAGGGATGCCAGCTAAAAGGGTGCAGACAGTGGCACTCACTGTCAATTTTGGCCAGTTCCTGAAGGACCATCTGTAACACGTGTAATGTATGGACAGCTTATGACACATCAATAAGGACCATAATGGCTCAATGAAATGAGTTGGCAAATGTTCATCAGGGATTATCTAATGTACAGGAATGTAATTGTTATGTTCATGGTGTCCTCTTTATTCTGTACCAGTAATTTCCCCCTTTTCACGTCTAAGTCGTGCCTTTTTTTTTTTTTTAAGCAGACTTCCCTAATCAGTGCGATGTATAAGATTTAGTAGAAACATGGGTGCAGCATGTAGTCTGTGGTTTATCCATCAATATGTGATAGAATTTCACTAAGGTCCTGTATGGGAAGTCACCAGCACCTAGCATCTAATATTGTCACTTGTGTTTTTTTTGTTTTTTTTTTAAAGTAGCTTTTGCTTAATGATCTTGTTGAATTGTCTGGCTTCCAATTAGATGTTTTTAGTCTTTTTCTTTAGCGATCAATGAGAACTCCTTGATATGGTAATTAAATCAGTGTTAAGAGATTATAACTTGGCTATTCCTTGTTTAAACTCCAACTTTTCTCCACAGTCTGCTTACTGCTGTGGCAGTTTATCACGAGCTGCCTGAACACACAGCTATCTGAGCCTGCTTTACACCAAAGAATGTTTCCTAGAAACCTGGTAGCAGTATGTACAACATCTAAGTAATAAAGCAACTTTTAACATTCCATTTATGTTTTGGTTTTGAAAGCATAATTTAAACATCATACTTCATTGTTTTTAGCCTTTCTGGTGACCTTTACAGCCCAATTGAACCTTTATTACAAATACTCTAAAGTATACAAGGCACACCAATCAAAAGGTATTCAATGTCGGTTTTCCTTAAATTCTAACTTTGTTTTCCTTTATAAATGCAATCACAGCTGGGGTTATACAAATCTATCCTGCCAGAATGCTGCATAGTGGAACTCTATGGGGCAGTGTTCATTTAGGTGGCAAATATTTTGTCAGTTTGTCATCTGTTTCCCTGATGAAAACCAAAATAAAAACGAAGTTAATAAGACAGTTGAAAATACATTGCAATTTTCTCTACTGGAGATTTAGTTGACAAAACAAAAACTAAAAATTCTGATGACTAAAATGTCTGTTTTAGTCATCTGAATTGTTATAGTTCTGTCGACTAAATCTCCAGTAGAGAAAATTGCAATGTATCTTCATCATAGTTTTTGTCTTATTAACCACTTGCTGACCGCGGTGTTAAACCCCCTTCTTGGCCAGGCCATTTTTCAGTATTCAGCGCTGCGGTACTATGACATTTATTCTGTCATACAACACTAAAATTAGTTTTTTATATCATTTTTTGGGGACACATAGAGCTTTCTTTTGTTATTTATTCACCACTGGGTTTTTTTTATTTTTTTACTATATAATGGAAAAAAAACCTGCTTTCCTTTATCAGTACCAATTTGTTGGTAAAATATAAGAGACGGGGTCACGTTGGGTAAATGGACACCAAACATGTCAAGCCTTAAAATTTGTGTGTGCCTGCGAAATTACAAACTACCATGCATAAAATTGGCCATAGGTGATACTTTAAAAGCTTTTACCACTCATCAGTTTAGTGTTATCAGTGATTAATGGACCTAATGTACCGGCGGAGGGTAAGGACTGTTTGCCGAAAGGTAAGTATAGCCGGGGGTGGGGGGGGGTTTTGGGAGAGACAGGGGCCAGATTTGATCAAGTAATTCCATTTTCCCATATTACCTGGGAAAGTGAACTTGCCCTTTAATGCACATTGTGCGTGTGGGAGAGTTCTGCTGCCTCGCTACGGCAATACGGCACAGTGAAATGGCGGCAGCACTCAACGCACACACAATGTCCCATGCGTGCGTTTATTTGCATGTAGATGGCGGGGGCAGCGGGGTTTTTTTTTTTTACATTGTCACTTTTTTTTAAAATAATTTTTTGTACTTTTTCATAAATATAGCTTCCACCTTTTAGAGGGAGGGGAGAGAACAGCAGTGGAAGAATGCTGTTCTCTCTTCCGTTAATGCTAGTAGCTGCTGTGCCGGTCCCAGACATGCAGGGAGGACAGCAGAGTCCAGGATAACCGGCAGCAGCGCTGGATGCGCGCGCACACACTTTTTAATGTCATACAAGCGATCGGCCAGCTGTAGAGCAGGCCAAACGCATGTAACGGCTGTTTACATTCCCAATGGGGTTCTGCTCGCACCTGTCCGCAGGAAAAACAAAAATCGCGTACATGTACGTCCACCCACTGGGAACAGGTTGTCATCCGGCCATGTATAAACAAAGGGCAGACAGCAAGTGGTTAACTTAGTTTATCAGTGAAAACATGCAGATGGCAAAAACTGACAAAGCATGCTCATTGACTAAATTAACACTGGTATAGGGAAACGGTGATCTCTATGCAGAAGTCGGAGCCAGAGCTCTCCAATCAGCAATCAGGTGTGCCCTACCTCGGCAAAGATCTGTATTGGCGAAGCATTGGTTTCTCTGCAGAGGTCTGACCCACCCTCTCCTGAGTCAGGTATAATTCTGTTGAAGCTCATGCTCCCTGCTGATTGGAGAGCTTTGACTCCATAGGGGGCATTTATGACCTCCTGCATAGAGGTCACTGCTTCCCCATATGGAGCAAGAGTCCCACTCTGCAGCATGCTGGCAGGACACAGGAGTTTTTATACTGCATTAAGTAAAGATAAACTAAGACAATAAACATCTTTTGTTTTGATACACCTGGAATGTATTTGAAGCAAAGTTAAACGCAACTGTTAGTGTCAAAGGCTTTTCAATGCCATGTATAGGATATTTGCCCCTTATGGCAGTCTTATCTGCCAAGGTGACTCCTGCTGCTGTACTAAGGGCACTGTGTCCATTGGCACTGCTGTTGACATGTTCTTCAGGTCTTCTTTGGGTTAGGCCTGGAATGATGTAGCTCCCACACATGCACATGTAGTTACTTCATCCTGGCAGGTGGCAGGATTGTACACACAATTGCATGTGTGTCTTGGTGTACTTTTAGGAATGTATATTGTTGGTAGGCTGTCAAGACACTTTTTG